GTTTCTTTCTTATTTAATCGAATCTAAGAACTCTGTCTTCTAGTTGATTTTAACCCATCACATTCACTCATGTGTTAGGAGTAACTCTTACATCAGAAGTTTGCTGTTGCCTAGTTTTCATATTTTTTTAAGTCGCTGTAGTTAAATTTTTCTTTCTCCCTTCCACGTCTTTTGGATAGATCAGACCCCCTCTTCAACCCCGGCCTTGGGGGCACCTCATGTGATCCACCAGCTGAAGTTGGAGCAGAAACTGACAGGCATGAGATTTTCCCTAACAAACAACCAGGTGTGAACAGGATCAGGTCACTGGGGTGTTCTGGGGAGAGGGTAGTGTAGTGGTGAGTATTCAGGCCCTGGGGTCAGGCAGAGCTGATTTAAATCTTCGCTTTGCCCTTTATAAGGTGCATGTCCTTGGGTGACTAAAGTTCACTGAGATTCAGCTTCACCATTTGCACAATGGGGACTTTAGCTGAACCCACTTGAGAACAGTTAATGAGATGACTCATGGACAGTGTTTAGCTCCAGGACTGGCACATAGTAATTTATTGGTGAATAGCAGTGACATTTTAGTTCATATTGCCATAGTCACCTCCAAGAGAAGGGCATCAGTTGTGCAGAATATGTACGCGTTGTGGGCTTGGGGAAGTGGCTGAAAGGGGTGATGAGAGAGGATAAAGGGAGGAGAGGAGAACTTATAGAAGTAGAGGAAACAAGTATTATAATGAGAGCCACCCACAGGCCCACAGAGCTGAACCTGGTCCAGGCACTGGCTGCAGTGCCTTCCCGTCCCTCTGAGGTTGGCCTGACACCCTTTCTTGCTCTGGGTGTCTGGTTCCCAGAGGCTGGAACTTGTCCAGGGGCACTTTCTATAGTGCTCAAAAAGTGTTGGTTGGATGAATGAATGGATGAGTTTCAAGGCATGGGGTAAGGTAAATGAAGTAGCTGATTGGCTCAAATACCTACAGGACTGTACTGATTGATGAAACAATGCTACCTAGCATTTACGGAGCATTTACTGTGTGCCGCAAGTTTACATGCCATGAAGCATGTGCAGTCAGAGGCTTAGGGATGTCAGTTTGCTTTACCAAGGTTACACAGCCAGGAAGTGATGGAGCTAGGATTTGATCCCACATCTGCCTGCTGTGAGTCAGTGCCCTAAAGCAGGAAGCTATCCACTCTACTACATGTCTCCTCTTGCCTATTAGTCTGTGCTTAAGAACCTGAAGAGAAATGAACAAGTCACACTGGTGGCTAGATGGTCTCTGTTCAAACGATGAAAACGGTAAATTAAAAGACAGCAAGTCTCAAGAGAATTCAGTTGAAATGATGTCACGGGATCTCCTTAGCCGACAATTAGTAGAATTCAACTGAACTGCTGCCTCCAGCCCCACCCCATCGCTCTCCGTGCCCATCAGTCAAGGCCCCTGGGCATTCTTCCTTGAGAGCACAGATAGGTTAAAAATATTTTAGACATGATTGGCATTAAAGAGCCCGCTAGGACATGCACTCAGCACAGTCTGCCAAACCCTGCTGGCAGGTAATCCCTAGAAGCCAATTCCAAGTTTTGTTAGTGACCAAGTCATGGGATTTCAGTGCCGCCTGGTGCTCATTAAAAGTTGACTTGCAATTCACTGCCTCCACTTCATTTGGGCAAATTAAAGAATCCCTAAGGATCAGCTTCAGAGCTGCAGGCAGATGAGGTCTGATGCACACCTTAGGGCTAAGGTGCAGACAGAGCCACAGGTTCACTCCACTCTGGAGGCATGGTCCCCAGATAGTTTCCTCACTGAGGCTCAAGCCCAAACTTGGGCATTTGATTAGCATCAAGAGACATAAATGGGAATTGGAGGTGGTGTTCTCTTCCTTTGAGCCATGAGATTCCCAGAGCTCCAAAGAGCCAAATGCTACAGCAAGCACTGTGGTGTCCTGGACAGCAGAACTCGAAGCACGCTCAGTGCCTGGTGCTGAGCGCGACCACCACGAGTGCTCCAGGCTGCTGGGTATGCACAGAGTGAAGTCTCCAGAGCTCTGAGGGCGGCTGATGCTTCCACTTCCATCGTAATGCTCACTGAGCTGTGTTATGTTAATTACTTGATCCACACCTCCCCTCCTCCCCCACCAAAATGGCAGCCCTGAGAGGGCAGGACCTCGCTGAACTTATTCACCAAGGTGTTCCCACAGGTTGGCACCTAGTAAGTGCTCATTAAATACTTGCTGAGAAAACAGACAG